TCTTCGCCCAGACGCTCATGCAAATGAGTCAATGCGCTCTCGTAGGAAGAAGCATCGCACTCGACATTATACAAAGCAATGTTAGCATCCTTACTCATGCGAGGAAGTTTGTAGTTATTGCTGCCATGTATTTGAATGGACTTTTCCATAACCTTTTGAAGGGTTATGAATGTCTTTGCAAGGGTATCTGTCGACAACTCATAAAACACACTTTCCTCAGCACAAATAAGTTCCTCGATTGAACGAGTAGACTTTTGGTACTGGAGACTTTGAATAGAATTAAAAAACTCCTAAATCTAAGACGTTGAAATCTGGACTATTCGGGGGTTAGTTGACGACTCCGATTCCACGAATGCCTTGTTGTTGGAGAAATTCCGAGGTCACACGGCGATGTGGGCTTGCATTATCCTGCTGGATAAGCACTTGTCTGCGCCTCCAATCGCCAGGAAGCTTGAGTTGGATCGAAGGCACAACCTTGTCCATGATCGCATCACTGTACACCTTGGCGTCGACAGCGAGAGGAACAGTAAGCAGGGTGCCTTTTGGTCGGTTCTTGCTTGCACGCGCAGCTGGCAACACGTGAACGAAAGGCCAGACACCAAGGTTGCCATCCCATTGTTTCTTGGAATGGTCGAAACGGGCCCTAGTAACAGCAGCAAGAAACATCACTTTAGTGATGAATCTCTTCGACTTGACTGAACGTGCAGCCACTTCCTCGTCATCATACACATAGTACCTTCGTTCGACCTTTGTCAGATAGAACCACTTCTCGTCGACATGCACATAGTCCTACATATTGGCGAAACAGTTGCGTCCATCTAACAAGGGTCGAACAAAGGACATTGCGTACTGCAGACGAGCTTCGACGTTCTCCGGCGTCAAGAAGGGATTGACGTAATTTGACCTGGCCTTGAATCTTGGTGTACTTTTCTTGTGCCAAAAGAGTGATGTCTTCGGGACACCACTGGCAATGGCCAAAGATCGAAGTGTCTGGCGGGCCAGCTGTGGAACTTGACGAATTGCTGCCTCGATTTCATCGGGCGTTCGGGATGGTTTGCGGCCAGTTTTACCTAATAAAGTAAAACTCCATAATTCAAAACTCCATAAAACGAATACAATATCATGTTTCAGA